ACAAAGGATGTTTTGCTACCTCACAACTCTCTCCTTCTCTTGTTTACTTTTGTAGGACTTTTTGATCGTCCCCAAAAGTGAGACAAACGTCCAAAAACGTATGGTCTTGGATGTTTGGCATCAAAGTGATTTCTTGTGTAGAAATCTAATACTTAACGGACTAGAAAGGACACTATATAATGTGTATAGCCCAAGTTAAGAAATCTAAGGGATGTCATTATGATGATGACAAACTCAGGTACCTTGCCTAAGTTTACTAACTTATGAATAGGGGTAAAGGATAATGCGAATTGTTGAGGACAAGATAATACTTGTCAGAGCTCGATCTTTCCGTCGTGGTTCGAGTACATACTTGATTAAAATTCCACGTTTATAGCGGATAAGAACAAGAGCCACTTGACCCATAGGCGCTTATAAATGTTGTCCTACAACCCTAACTAAGGAAGAAAGTATTTGTGTAATTCTTCGACTTTAAGTGTTGGAGGAACCGACAAGGTAGTGTGCTAAGAATTAATATTGGATATCGTGGACATTTTTCGTGCCCAAGACATCCATAAGAATCTATTTTTTGGACCATTAATTGAGTAAGGCCGAATTTAGATTAGTTTGTAATTATCGGCAAATATGTTATGCCGAAATATGATGCATTCTTAGCATAAGGAGACCTTAATAAAGGTCATATTACAATTATTGTAAAAATTGTAATCTATTGATTGACGAAAAAAAATAATAAATAAATAAGTTGGTCTTATTTATTGAGTGTTTATTTGTGGCATGATAAATTAGTACTTGTGAATTTTAATACTAATAGATGGTGAATCTATAATTGATTCATACAACAAATATGAAAATTGTGTTAAAATGAAAAGTGTCAAAAGCATCGTAATAAACGGTTGCTTAGTTCACTAGTCCTCTCGAGATAAGTCATATCGGTATATGTGATTTAAGAATTTGTGTAGACTCGAGTAGGAAATATATTATAAGAATGCACAAAGTATTGGCATAAAGCTTTTGTAGCTTTGATTCATAATGATGATGTTGATATTCAATGAAATAGTTAAAAGAAATAATCACCATGAGTAGGTGACGTTTTCTTATTAATCTAAATGCTTATGTGAGAAACAATTATTTCGACAAAATTGCAAGCACCACATGAAGGTAGATACGAAACTCCATTTGAGTTATAAAAAGAGCTAAAACATTCGTATCTATATCTTAAAATGTGAGGGTGTTCGGGCATGGAAGGCACCACACGAAGGTAGATGCGAAACTCCATTTGAGTTATAAAAAGAGCAAAAGCATTTGTACATATACCTTGAAATGTGGGGGTGTTTATGCCAAGGTGGAAATGCCTAATTAATGATATGAAAAGTTTGTTGAAATAATTTTGTCGAATAATTTCAAATTCATTGAATAAGAAAATGAGTCTATGAAGGTTCTTCTGACTCTTTGTGATCGTAAGTCGTATGTAGACAATATGATGATCTTGGAATATAATCATGATGTGTTCATGAATAACAAGAAGATAAACTTTGACATATAAAGTTTGTGAAATTCCAATGTAATTTTGGAGATTAAGTTTCTAAGAGATCGGAAGTAATTGTTTGACACAATCTCATCATGTCAAACGTATGTTGAAGAGGTTCAATGAGTTCAATAAAACCTCAAACTAAAGTGAATGTAGAATTGACTCCACACTTAATTAACAATTCAAGAATAATTAGTTTCTCTGAAAAAGTGTGCTGAATAATTGGAGGCTTGAGGTGCTTGTCGAATAGTACTCGCCCCAATGTTGCATTTTAGTGAGCAAACTAAGATGTTCACGAGTAACTCGAGCGATGAATTTTGATCACGTTGAATCGAGTATTGGACATGAAAATATCTAAGACTAAAAGTGACTAAGTGTTCACTTTAGGTGGGTAGAGTAGTCTCATGAAAATAATCTAAGTATAAAGCTAGATCCACAATGGAGTTCGAGTTTATAAATTTGGGTAAAAGGTGTGGATGAAGCTAATGACTTAGAAATTTTCTAAAAGATATTCCTAGGTGGAATAAATTGTGCTCATGGTGATGATTATTAATCAATTAGAAATTGAAAGAGTACAAAGTAGTTTGTACAATAGTAAGTCTAGACATAGACGTTGGAGACTTAATTTCATAAGAAAATTATCTCGTGTGGGGGTTATATCAGTTGACTATGTGAAGTCAAAGATTACCTAACGGATTCGTTTACAAAAAGCATGAAACGAGATAAATTGTACAAAGTGGTTAGGGGAATGAGCTTAATAAAAATCCACAACAAACGAACGGTCTTAGCGGTAACCCAACCATGAGAATCGGAGATCCTGAAACCTTGGTTCAATGGGAAAACTAAGTTTTGACAGTTCAGTGAAACACTTGAAAAATTTATGCTCATTTTTAGAACCATCCAGTGTTATAATCTGCCTAAGTGGTGAGGCTAAGTCGAGGACTTTTAATGATTCCTATACCTATGGGTGGAGTAAGGCATGATACTCTTTATAGGATAATCACCTTTGTATGTGAGAAGTAAATGCCCGCTTCAATCGAACACTTACTAAACCGCGATATGGCCCAAAACCGAAATGGACACAACGTGAGAACAAGAAATTGGTAGAGCTATGATTGTCTTGGTGCACACAAACAACCGGTAAGTTCAAAGCATTGCACTACTAACCGGCTAGTGTATCCGATAGTATTTCAGTAAGGAAGATTCAAAGCCACAAGCTATCTATCCTGATGCAATGATGGTTCGCCGGAACTCTTAAGTATTGCATACATGCATTAATTTCATTCATGTAGGGGATTGTAAGAAAAAATTGGTTTTGAACCGATTTAACGATTCTATTTTTCGTAAGTAGAAGACTTAGGAAATTCTCAAAACCTTTTTAAGGTGAATGAGAAATTAATTCTAAGTGTTATATATTAATTAATTGAGTTTAAATAACTAAAAGGTTGTAGGGTTCACAAAACATTCTGTTTTGGACAAACTAACGAGCTATAATTATGCATTATGTATGCTAGAATTGTAGAAGGGATCGTTGGGGAAAAATAGAAAAAACGGAACTCAATTCCAAGTCCATATGAGCTCGTACGAGCCCGCGGCGCATGGGCGCGCAACTGGCTGCGGAAATCAAAGGGTCGCAACCCTTGGTGACCATAAGGTATCTTTTGGCCACTAGATGCATCCGTTCTCGTTCGGACATGTCCCAAAAGGTGTCTTTTTGACACTTAAATCTCTTGGAGGTGTTTTCCTACATCTATAAATACCCACATAGATGAAATCATACATAACTTGAACAACATAAAAATTAGAGAGCTCTTGCATTATTTTTCAAAGATCATATAGCATATTGTGGTCTATGATTTTTCCATTGAGTCTTGAGAGTTCCAAACAATAGTAGTGTTCGTCGAAGGCTTGTATATTTGAAGTACCGCTATATACAAGTCGAAAGTCGTTGTACCTTGGAGACGTTTGCCATTAACCGTGGGTATTTTATGGGGCAATTTCGTCTTAAGGAGAACGTAACTATTACGTGCCTCGACTTTAATTTTTGTTTCATTTTCTTCATTCTCCTTAAACCTTCTTTTTTTATATTAAAAAACCACACAAACTATAGGTCCTTTATGAATAATTGTGGAATCGAACCAATGAATATACTCATATTCACTTGACATTCAATGAACTTTGTATAATGGCATCTGCTGCGTCAGTTACAATTCATTTAAACATCAAATATTCTATATCATTCATGTTATATTCGTATCGTCATGTCTGTATCACAATTTTACCAAACATTTCACCATTTAAACATTCTCCCATATTTACGGACGACTTACTCCTGTTTGTGGTTGTATCTCTTGACCAAACAATTTTGGATAAAACTTTACTGGACACATTTTGCAGCATCTCTGGGTTGACGGTGAGTGCCACGAAAACACGTGTCTTCCTCTCTAAAAATGTCTCCAGCCAACTCAGGCAGGCATTAGCAGACTCCATGGGTTTTAGTACAGTCGATGACCTTGGTAAATACCTTAGGGTTGTTGGTGTTATATATGATATTACATTTGCCTTTTATGAATGAAAATCATGTTCGATTAAACAAGTTACATGTATTGTTGTTTTGCACTTATATAAAATATTTCATTAGCGGGTGAACAGAAGATCATTTTATCAGTCACTTACGAAGCAAGAATTATTGGTTCACAACCTAGATGGAGATGAACACATCGGAACGGTTGTAGTGTCAACGGTACAGTTGGTCTTGACTGATTAGTTGCACTAATACATTTATGTATTGAACAAGATCCCAGAGAGAAAAAATTTATTTTATATTGATCGTCGTAAACAAACTTAAGTCTCGCGTTAATTACTACGTTCTCTTAACCCGTAAGATATTAAACAGACATGTACATGCAATATTTATTACTTTGAATCACTTGGGTAAGATTCAGTTCGCTGGATCAATAGTCTTATAATATTGTTGTATGTATGATGGGCCGCCCGGTTTCGGCTTCCGGACGCGACCGGTCGCGTACGCGATCGTCGACCGGATGGCAAAAAAAAAATACCTCGTCGAAAGACGACATTTCGCTGGAAATCGCCTGGTACAATTTCTTCTAAGATTTTTGAAAAAATGAAAAGAGCAAAATCATCCAATTAGAACAATAACTAGTAATAGAAGGAGCTGGTGAATAATAATGCCCTAATTATATTGACTGCGTATCCACGGTGTGAAGAATTCTGTCCAGAAATTTGAATAGCGAGAGTGCTGATTGGTTCGGTCTAGGTAGACAATCCGCACAAAATAACGTCCCCAGCACGCTAAAATCGAAATTGAAATTTCATGATTTGGCGCTCACTCTCCTCATCTCTCTCTCTCTCCAAAACCTAGGGTTTTCAAACCTCTTCAACTTTCCCCTCATTTATCCCTCCATCTCTCAGCCTTCCAGTTTCCAATCCAAATCGGGCTCTTAAAAAAATGGAATCTTCAGTCTCCCACAACATGCCTCCGATCAATCTGACGGAAGGCGCGGTTGCGATGCTCGCCAACGGCCAGGCTCAGGAGTCTAGCTTCAAGCCGGTGCTGCAAGTCACCAGCATACGGCTGATCAACCCTCAGAATCAGAACAACGCCGCCGTGGAGAGGTACCGCATTTTGCTCTCAGACGGCACTTTCTTTCAGCAGAGCATGCTCGCTACCCAGTGCAATGACTTGGTGCGGTCTGAGAAGATGCAGAAAGGCTCCATCATCCGGTTGATGCAGTACGTCTGTAACGTTGTCCAGAACAAAAGGCGAGTATGCTTTATGTTTTTTTTTTTTTTTTTTTTTTTTTGTTGCCAAATGTTGTTAATTTTCCCCAGGTGTGTATCAAATGAAAGAAAAAAGAACTGTTAAGCGGATTCTTTGGCGTAATTGGAGTTTTCAGTCTTAATTCAATCCAATTTGTGATCGATACACAGTGTATATTTTGTTCTTTGGTCTTCGTAAGTATGAGAATCTGAAATGTGGCTACTTGTGGTAGTGTACTCTTGAGTTTTTATTTATTTATTTATTTATTTATTTATTTTTTTTATGGTGGGATCTGGTGGTGGCTGGGTTTATGTGTGAGAAGGTCAAACATTTACTGCATAGTATGAGTAAAATGTAATTATTTCGATCTATGAGTGACCTTATGGGAATAGCAGGAGTGATTTCCTACTTGATGTTATGGTTTTCAAAATTTTCAGCTTTCTACATTGCCTCATGTGTATTGTGCCGTTGAAGCGTTCTTTTTTTCTTAAATTAAGTTAGAAAATTTGGAAATTTTACTTCAATAACGTGTTGCATTGTTTAGTGTACTCAGTTCCCTTTCTCTTTATTATTAGATAAGGTACAGGGGCTGATGATTCCAATAAAAAAATCTGTTCGCTACTATGGGATGAGTCTGTGCATCTTAGTTGTCATTGCTGCTGTTGTCCTTATGTGTCTACTTAAATGCATGAGTGCTTTGAGAGGTATTCCTGTGGTGTGTAGTTATTAACCCCAACTTAGTGGAAATAGGAACTCTTTTTCACTGTATTGTTCCATAAAAATGTGTTACAGTCCCTATTAACAATGGTTTTTCATGGACTTTGTGCAGGATTATCATCGCGGTTGATCTAGAAGTGATTGTTGAGAAATGTGACCTTATTGGAGATCCAATGCAATATCCAACTGATGGGAGTGTTCCTTCAGTCGTGAGATCACCCGCACCACGTCCAGCAATGAATAACCTTGTTGGTGGAAACTCTCCTCCATATAGTGTTGGTACAGCCATGAATAGTTCAGCCGCAAGGTCTACTATGGGTGGTGGAATTCATGCTCCACTTTCAGGGGAAAACCGAATTGCAGGACAACATTCTTACTCTGGTTCTTTTTCGGGAAATCCCAGAACAGAAACTGTTTCTGGAATGTCGCGACCTCCTTCAAGTAGTTATGGCCGCACTCCCCACTCATATCAGCAGCCACCTCCAATGTATGCTAACAGAGGTCCAATCTCCAAGAACGAAGCTCCTGCAAGAATCATACCTATTGCGGCCCTGAATCCGTATCAGGGAAGGTGGACAATCAAGGCGAGAGTAACAGCAAAGGGTGATCTCAGGCTTTACAACAATGCTAGGGGTGAAGGTAAAGTGTTCTCATTCGACCTTCTTGATTCTGATGGTGGAGAAATAAGGGTAACATGCTTCAATGCTGTGGCGGATCAATATTATGATCAAATTGAGCCTGGCCGAGTTTATATGATCTCGAGGGGGGCTCTGAAACCAGCTCAGAAAACCTTTAATCACCTCCGTAATGACCATGAGATTTTGCTGGACAATAATTCTACTGTGCAACCATGCTTTGATGATGATAATTCCATCCCACAGCAGCAGTTTTGTTTCCGGCCCATAAGCGATATTGAAGGCCTAGACAACAACAGTGTAGTTGATGTGATTGCAGTTGTTTCGTCTATCAGCCCTTCGAGCTCAATTATGAGAAAAAATGGCACCGAGACCCTAAAGAGAACCCTCCAGCTGAAGGACATGTCCGGGAGGAGTGTCGAGTTGACTTTGTGGGGAAATTTTTGCAGTGCTGAGGGACAAACACTTCAGAGCATGTGTGATTCCGGAGTCTTTCCTGTTCTGGCTGTGAAAGCCGGCCGAGTTAATGATTTCAATGGTAAATCAGTGGGGACCATCTCCACGAGCCAGTTGTTCATAGAGCCCGATTTTCCTGAAGCTCACAAACTCAAAGCATGGTTTGCCAACGACGGAAAGAGTACCCCAGCTATATCCATATCCAGGGAATCAAGTATGGTGCGGACAGATGCTCGGAAAACAATATCTCAGATTAAAGATGAAAAGCTAGGGACTTTGGAGAAGCCAGATTGGATCACGGTCTCTGCCACCCTAACTTACATCAAAGTCGATAACTTTTGCTACACCGCTTGTCCTCTAATGATTGGAGACCGGCAGTGCAATAAAAAGGTCACGAATAACGGGGACGGGAAATGGAGATGCGATAGGTGTGACCAGTTAGTCGATGAGTGCGACTATAGATACATCCTCCAAATGCAAATCCAGGATCACACGGGCTTGACCTGGGTCACTGCCTTTCAGGAGAGTGCAGGAGAAATGTTGGGCATATCTGCAAAAGAGCTGTACTACATGAAGTACGAAGAACAGGAGGATGAGAAATTTACTGAGCTGATTCGTAATGTGCTCTTCAACAAGTTCCAGTTCAAATTAAAGGTGAAGGAAGAGATATTCAGCGATGAGCAGCGGGTGAAGTCAACAGTGGTGAAGGCCGAAAAGGTGAACTTCCAAACAGAAACCAGGTATCTGCTTGACATGATTTATAATTTGAAAGAGGACAGCTCGGGCTCCGTACAGCACAAAAATGAGAGTGTTATCACAACACCAGCAGCTACCAGCATGGGTTATAGTGGAGGAATAAATAACAATGTGAGTAGGCAAGGTGGTGTAGGTGCAAGTCAGATGGGTCCTTATGGCAATAATAATGGTAGTCAATATGGTGGTGGCTCAAGATATAATTCAACTGGCTCTGCTGGTGGGTTTATGAGTTGTAATAGCTGCGGCGGCACAGGGCATACTACTGCTAATTGCCCAAGTGTGGTGAGTGGTTCTGATAAATCGTATGGAGGTGGTTTTGGCAATACTAAGTTGACAACTGGGAGTGGGGGTGTGTCTGGTGAGTGTTACAAATGCCATCAGATGGGACATTGGGCAAGGGATTGTCCAGGGACGGGCAACAGTGGTATGTCAGCATATGGTGGTAGTAATGTGAACCCTGGGGCAGGTGGTGGGGGTGCCTCTGGTGACTGTTTCAAATGCCATCAGGTGGGGCATTGGGCGAGGGATTGCCCTGGGACGGGCAATACTGGTGACTCAGCATATAGTGGCAGTAATGTGGGCCCTGGGAGATATGGAATGCCACCTAAGCAGCACGTGGGTGGGTTTTGAAATAATGTGCAACTTAAAATAATAATAAGCCTGCTCTGCCAGGCTAGGTTCTGATTTTGTATGGGTGTTATTGGGTGTTGGGAACTGTGATTTTGTGAAGAGGTATTGAAGAATTTTGCTGTGGGGTTGGTTCTATAAGTTTGCCTTTGTCCAAAATGACTAGAGCCTTGGGTTGGTGAGGGCATGGTCCATAGGATGGGATTGTAATTGTGTCTGGTAAGTTTCAAAGTAATATGTTTCACTTTTGCCGATGTACATTATTTGGTTTTGGTTTTCTGGAATGTGTTCTCCCTCTCATGCTTATGAGAAAAAGTGATAGGCCTTCTATGGCCGACACGGGTCATCATTCTGCATTGTTTCTCTCTGTAAGTTCTTTTAATGTGTATTTGTGTGCTACCTTACCGCCATATCTGAATCTTGGTTTGTGTCTAACATGTATTAATGGGAGATACAATGCTGCCATACTATCAACCCTCGCAGACTTTGCATGATTTTGTGTGTTTTCTCCCACAATACCGTATATTATTAAGTACCGTAAATTATTATATTAGTCGACTACAGTAAACCTAGAGTCGTTGCCCGCTGCAGATTAGCCCTTTCCACAAGGGGTATCATAACAGCCGTACTAATAAAACTAAAACACACACTAACACACACACACACACACACGTACAGACTGCTACATGAGAGAACTTAATCTTCATTGGTCAACACAGCATAAAAACACACCAAGCTGGAGTTTATATCATGCACGCAGACAGACCAAGTCGCAACTTGAGTGGGCGATGCCACACAACAAAGAAAATTCAAGAAAACAACCTAAAGAACTCCTTGTTGCTTGCGACCGATATAACATCCGGCGAAGAAAATGAGCTCACCCACCTTATCCATACATGTTCAACATAAATCCCCGAGAGTAGAATAGGGAATAAGAGTAGAATTGGATGGACAGAAGTGAAAAGCCAAAATACAGATTGTCAAAATGAAAATGTTGAACTGGAAACAAAGTTAAATGCACAAATTTAATGTACTACATAACCTTTCTGTCGCAGTTCAACTTTCTCCTCTCTTTAAGCCCCCTTTAAAAGTTGATTGAAGTTGGAATTTAAATATTTTATAAACTTCATAAGAAGACCACCATTACAATAGTCCAAGACCAAGCCAATTTGAAAGACTGGTGCTCCAAGCCAAAAAACAACAGAAACCAGTAAAGGAAATGGATAAATAAAAGCAACCAGAATAACACCATTCTCGAGCAGCTTCTATAATAATGATTAAAGATCAGGCATTCCCTTGCCAGTTTTAGCATCATAAGTTTTCTCCAAGACCAGTTCCATTGGAGTGTCTTTCGGGCCAACTGCACAACAAGAAACGAGACTAAGCAAATATTGTTCCAATCATCACATAAATAAAAATCCGTAATATCTTATCACAAAGGGGTGTAGTAAAGCCTTGCATTATCAACTCAATTTCTGAAAGACAGAATAGTAAAAAAGGTCCTAGACATGCCAGTTATTCAAATAAGATCGCAAGAAACAATCATTTCACCTTATAATTTTCCGTTTCTAAAATGTGTTATTTTCTCAATAACTGCTGGTCTTCACTAAATAATCTTACAAGCTATACTAGCTTCATATAATGCCAATCTAACTACGTGGAGTATCCAAAATAATTCCAGCTAAAATAGAGTTCATCAAGTCAATCGTGTCTCTTTCTCTATTCATCAAAAGCAGAAATATCTGCAAAGCATAACAGCCTACTATGTGGTAATTTGTAATCCCATGAAATGACATAAGTTCCTGCCTTTCAGCCTATGGTGGCACAAGACTGGAGAAATGAAGAACCAAAAGGAGAAACAGGAAAACAAAATGCTACTCTTAACTTCAAACTAATAGTCACCGTCTAGATTTCATGTGCAACCTAAGAAAATGGAAGTTCTATTAAAAAAAAAATGATAAATTAAGTCACTTAAGATTTCATCTATGAAATTTTAAGTATCGCCCTTTATAATGTTTGTTGCATAGCAGAATTTGTTGTATAGTGATGAAAATCCAGCAATCGGGCACAACTGCAAGATACTAGTCTCATAACAAGGTAACTTCCTAGTGAATTCAATCATCCTTTCACATATTGAACTGAACACATAATCATGGCCGTTTTTCGAAATTACTAGTTATGTCATGTGAACCAGAGCTCCAGATAGACAAAAGTGACATTAGAGCAGACAAACAACGGACAAAACTGCAAGAACCTGAAACTCACCAATGGTTGGTCTAGGAGTGCTCCTTATCTTCAAGATCTCTGGACGAGGAATTATTGATCCCGAGGCCCCTATACCTCTGGATACTCGTACTTTGCTACCGTCTTCTAAGTATTTGATCCCAACCTTGCAGGGTTTCCTAAAAGGGCAAATGTCAGCCACCATCTTTAAGAAATTTCAAAGTGGAAAAAAGGAGTAGGCATTCTCATCTCACCCTGTAATTGGATCTAAAACCTGAACGTTTGAGACGTGAAGGGGAGCTTCCACCGAGAAAATCCCACCTTCATGACCTTGCCCTTGCTTGATATGCTTCTTCACCTGCCGATTGATTTCAACTTGAAAATGAGATGTGCTCGTGAAATATAGAACGAAAAGCCAAACAGTACAGACAAGATCCAAAGCAAGGATATAACTTCCCCAAATTCACATTATCACTAGAAACAATCTGGCTTCTTTACCAGCTTGCAAACAAATTGTTTCGACTACTTTTACATGGTTATATTTTTAAATAACAAGAATGACACAGTCTTCCACTAAAGTCCTAATTTTTCACCACTCCCTTTACACCCAAATCAAACCCACCTAAAAGATAACAAACAAATTAGCGGATTAAATGTGCACTCGAAATAGTCCATCCGAGAAAAAAAAAAAGACCCTTCCATTGTAATTCGTTAAGTGCACGAACCAAACAGGCAATAGCTCACCAAATTCTTGCCCTCGACAATCACACGATTTTGAGAACGAACAACTCGCTTTATAATACCAGTCTCCCCTTTATCTTTACCCCTCATTATCATAACCTGCCATTTATAAATAAATAACGAAACTTGAGCAGATTTCCATAGGCGATAAAAAGGGACTTCAAAACAATATTTTTAGATTATTTGTATATATATATATATCAGTTCGTAGGATTCCCGTGTAATGACACGGAGTAACCAACAATTCAAAGGAAGTGCACAATACCCATTTTTCCTTACATTATCACCTCTAAGTATCTTCCAGTGATGGATGAGTTTTTGCGCTGCCTTCCAACCCATTTTCTCTCTGCACGAGCTTGATTGGAACAAAAATCGTACCTTGGAGCTCTGCAAGAATTGACAAGTTGAAAAGGGGTTTTGATGGAGGTGGCTGTTGTAAATGGGCCGTTTATTTGGTATGAATTGGGCCAAGCCCACAACAATTCGTAACAATAAAAATAAAGTGAGAAAATACTCGGTAAACGAATAATTTTATTTGCACACCTACAAATCTTCTTTTTTATTTGTACATTTATTATATATATATATATATATATCCCCCTATATATTAATTCAGAACGCGCTGAGCCTACGTGGCTGTTTCTGGTGCTTCGGAATCCTATGTGGCAAAATTACATGCTTCGTTA